ATCTCACAAAATCCACACAACATGTCTGCTACACCCCTGTACTGGGTGGGGTCCTGTTTGGTTGAACCATACAGCAGGGAATATGACAACAACAGCAAGAAGATGACATACAATGCTGCTTGAAGGCTGAGTAAAAAAATGAAAGTTACTTCATCAAAAGCTGCCTAAGTTTACAACGAACAACATTTCAACAAATTTAAAATATTACACATGCATATTCAATCATGCAAAATTGGATATGATAAAGCTAAATTTAGGTTAGGTTAAGTAAGAAATGTGTTTTCCAGAGTAGACTTGAGGGAATTTATTTGATTGTTTTAGCCTTACAACTGTGTAATTTGGATATGTATAATCTAATCTCGCAAACATTATAAGACAGACAAAAATGATTGGATCAATGTTAGTATAAGTAGTGTCGGCCGACATGTCGACAGTCGGTCGATAGTCGGTCGACAGTCGGTCGATAGTCGGTCGATAGTCGGAAAATAGTCAGTCGATATGTCAACCAATATATGTCGGCCGATAGTCGGTCGACATATCGGTAGACAGTCGGTCGATATTTGACCGACAATTGGCCGACACTCGGTCGACACTTGGCCGATTCTTCACCGACATTTTACTCACACTTAATCATATACCTGAAAGTTTATGCCCTCAAATCAAATTTTTCTTCAAATCAAATTTTTCAATACCGACACTGCAACAATACACAACCACACGAGCGTGACGTTCAAACTATATTTACCGATAAAGTTCAGACACTTGACCGATAGACTACCGACCCTCGGCCGATAGACAACTGACACTTGACCGATATTCCACCGACACTTGACCGATATTCCACCGACACTTGACCGATATTCCACCGACACTAGACCGATATTCCTCCGAGACGCGACACTCCATCTATCGGTCGACAGTCGGTCGACATATCGACCGACAATCGACCGACTATTGACGACTATCGAACGACCTGTCGACCGACTATCGACCAAATGTCGACCGACTGTCCACCGATATGTCGGTCGACATCTCGGTCGCCATGTCGGCCGACACTACCTATAGTAATCCAAATTATTAACCTCAGAAAAAAATGTCGATAGCTTTTTCATTTTGTCTTAATTAACATTCTGACCACTGGATGTTGCAAGGCCTCCTGCAATTCAAAGTCAAGCGGAATTTTAGGGCAACTACAAGTGACACAATTCATATATCTAATCAACTTTACTTTACCAAGGCAAACAATTTTCATCAATGACAGCAGTCTCATTAATTTAAGTCTGATTACTCATCCCGGCAAAAGCTAAAGGAAATGCTCCGTATATGTTGTAGTTCAATTTTATGATGGTTCAAATTTTATTTTCCTTTGTTCTCGGTCATGTTATGATAATGATGATCAGTTTGAAACAAAGGAAAACGAAATTTGAACCATGGATAAAATTGAACTACAACATATACACCAACTTGATATGATACCTTGTTATTGTTCTTTGCAATCATGTTTAGACATGACTTGTCTCTTCAGTTGAAATATTTGTTGTCCAACTCTTTGTGTCCTTCTGACAACACAACTTTTAGAGGTCTTCCATCCTCATCACCATCCAAGATAGCATAATAAATGAAAAATGATAGTGAACCCTCACTGGCCTTACCTTCCAAACGCACAACTCGTAAAAATACTACACAACAAAGCGTCTAATAAGATATACGCATCTCCCGAGTCTTTGATAGATTTCATCCTTTGAATGGATTTTTAATACTAAAATCACGTCGTAACGGAGAACGGCACAGGGGAGTCATTTTGTTTAGAGTTGTGTGCTGTTATCGTGGGATTGTTCGTTGTTCTTCAGTCGCCCTCGCTTTCAGAATGGTCAGAAACAGCAATGGTTGGTTCTGTAGGATTCTTTTCCAGCGAATTTGAAAACTTGTTGGATTTTTAAGTGTAATTAGCATGAAGCGATACAGGTACAGGTATCTCTTGTTGTGTTGTGAAAATTATCACACTCACTTTGAATTTACGCCGACATGCGGTGCATGTTCATTTTGGAAATAACTCGCCTTGATGAGAATTTTGCTTTTATAGATTTTTTTTTTCGCCATTCCAGCTTTCTTAATTTTTTATTACTCAGTCATTTGAAGCTTTCACAGGCACGTGTAGGCATGTTTACCTGATGTAAATTCCACTATCTTGCATGTGCATTGTATCAATTTGTTCTCTCTCTGCATTAAATCAACCAGTGCCTTAATCGCCAGTGTGAACCCTCACTGGTGCCTTAATCACATCGTACCTATAATTTCTGATATCTCTCGCAACTATCTAGAGGATTCCGGCACCAATATAGGTCATCTGAAGGCCAGTGACAAAGAATCTTATGAGTACTGTATGAATATAGTTTAAAAAACTGGAACAGTGTGTAAACTATAAATGCGACTTAAAATATCAGTGAGAAATAGCCGCCATGTATTGCAAAAGAAATTATAGGTTGTAATACGCCGGGTTCATTCCCAGTAACTGGTATCCGGATGCTCAAAAATTACAGCACCGAGCGTCAGCTGTCAAAGATTCCGAACACAAAGGAAAACAAAAAATGTCGATTCAGGAAGTTATTTTGTCTCCGATCCGAAAACATAACAACAAGATTGTTCTAACAACAATATTGTTCTCTCTCTGCATTAAATCAACGATTGTAGTCTTTGAATACGAAAGCGCGCTATATAAGGAAGTCTTCCCTGGGAAGACCTAGACTCATTTGTCACTCATCGTTGACGTGTGCTGGTCAAATTTAAATGCTGGTAGACGAACAAAAGGAGCTAATGAGATATCTATTGTTTACTTCCACCAGCATGGTGGCATGAGGTAACGTGCGAACCACCTACTTCGATCTCAAATTCACCACCACAAATAAAGACAGTTTCCATTGGAGAAGGAAATACAAATCTCAAAAATTCTTGTATTGTGATGAAGACATAAAACAATTTTTAGGAATGCGCCCGCTGTTCACTGCTTTGGAGTAGCTGTAGCTCAAGCTGACTTCACTCTAGAGTTCTACATCGCACGATAGTTGATTGACAAATGGTCCAGTGGGACCTAAGGCTCATTTTATAGCGCGCCTTCGTGTTTAAGATGACAAAGCAACTGTACGAGGAATACGAAGGCGGTCCTTTTTCTTAGCAGGGAAATTATCAGGGGTAATATAATTAAACGCGCTAAATAAGCATGCTGCATATCAAAAATATTGCAGTGTGCAGGCTGTAATATTAAAAATATTGCAGTGTGCAGGTTACAATCATTAAAAATATTGCTTCTTCCACTCCTCAAAGACTTTCAAAACCCACGCCCATTTCCGGCGGCTGGCGTCTGAAACCCAACTTTTGTCAAATTTCTCGCATTCTGAAGCTGTAATTGGCGTTCTAAATCTTTGCTCTATTTAAAAAAAGAAAATGGAAACGCCGCCTTTAGAAGTCGATAAAGAATTAAAGCACTGACAGAAATGTCCAAACGTTACACTACATTATCTTCGATTTCTGCTGAAATATCTGNATTTTTTTTTATTATTATTCGAATGACATTAGATTTTGTTAGACATTTAAGAATAAACACTAGCGAGAAAAACACACAACGTTTCGATGACTCCATGTCATCATTCTCAAGTGAGAAGAGAATAAAAATGAATAGTTAATTTATACCGTACGAAGGTGGCAAACGTAAAAAGTTTAAAATATTTAAAATATTTAAATAAATAATTGCGCGTGTTGAGTTCATAAATGTAAACTATTAAATAAATAGTTTCGCGCGTATGGAATCCGATTGTTTGTTCAAAGAGGGCTTCATCTTCTTTATGAAAAGCATTTCATGAACTAAACAGTCCAGTTTCCCGGTGCACTTTTTAAGTACGTTGAAATGCTTGGTCAGGTCGCCGATGGTTTGTAGGCCGTGGTCGTTCTTTAGATGTTTGCCGATGGCCGAATTACGGTGCTCATTAATACGTTGATGTAAATGCCGGCTAGTGTACCCGACGTACTCTGCATCACACAGATCACATTTGTAATTACATACAACGCATTGTTGGCTAACTATAGGAGGTTTAGGCTCACGTATTCTGAGATCTTCACAGATTTTGCGACTCTCGAACACGGGTTGAAGGGTGTGATCGATTTTGTTGCTTAGATCTGATAACTGCCTTTTCACTGCGTCAGCTGACTTTTGATCTTTAAAAGGCAAAACCACTCGGTGAACAGCATTTTCACCAAATGCGCGAAGAATATTTATTTAATAGTTTACATTTATGAACTGAACATGCGCAATTATTTACTGAAATTTTTAAAAAAAAAAAATTTTTCATTTTTTACGTTTGTCACCTTCGTACGGAATAAATTAACTATTCATTTTTATTCTCTTCTCACTTGAGAATGATGACATGGAGTCATCAAAACGTTGTGTGTTTTTCTCGCTAATATTTATTCTTAATGTCTAACAAAATCTAATGTCATTCAAATGCCATATGCCTCAGTAATTATCCATTAATGACAACCCAACGCCGGCTTTTAGGAAAACGAAACTCGACGGAACCTCCGTTTCCTTTCACAGAACGGCGAATTCACAAAGAATGTGTTGTAGATACGGGAAAAGCCGTTTGTACCTGTAGAAATCATCGTGTGCAAAACTCAGATTTCGAAAGGATGGATTTAAACAGACAATATATCAGCTGTCCTGCGGATTTTCGAGCTTCTCGAGAAAGAGTAGAATTGTCCGACGATGAAAATTCCCCACACTTTGGATCTGCAGTTTCTAAGTGGGGTTTGACGGCACAAACTTTGCTTGAAAGGTCGCAGTCGAGGGAAGCAGTACATGTGAAAGTGAAATGTCAAGAGTGGCTGAATAGATAGTTGGCTTCCAACGGTAAAACACAACACCAACAAAATTTAAACGAACAGATTTAATTTAACACCAAGGGCCATAAACCCATCTACAAAATCATATTGCTTGACACTATGTTTTCCAAAATGATTTCACTGTTTTCATTGCTCGAAATTTGACCAAACTGTTCTATCTTGTACATAACTTTTACTTAACGAGTTATTTACGAAACAAAAACAGGGTTGCACTTATAATTTCACTTTTTGAAAGTGTACTGGCCCCTAGCTACGCGCCGTTCAACCTTTCACTTAGCTTTAATTCCATGAAGACAAGGATGCTTAGAAAATAATTTGGGGCTCTCTTCTTTTTTTGCTGTATTTATTTGTTTTCGAAATTTCAAGAGTTTAAAGTAAAATTACTCTGTTAAGTGGTGCTTTGTAGATTTTCCGCGGCTCGAGTTGTTCAAGGCCTCATACATTAGCACGGACATGTCTAACAGGCGTTCATCCTCTCTCTTGCCTCATCTGTCTGACCATCTTTCGCATCATATCCCTTGGATTAAGAGTCGAAACGAAGAAAATTACTGAGAGATGCGTAGGGGAGAAACGACAGTCTGAATTGGGGTTAAGTACAATGATAATTAATTCTGAACTGGGAGGCCTAATTTCACTGCGAGAATTATCCTTACCTAATCGCGTTAAGCTTTTCTTCCACTGATTCCCAAGGATTGCGATCTTCACTGAACTCAAGAAGCTCTGTAAATTATTCAGTTTTTTTTAATTGCGTAAGTAAATCATTAGTTTGAAAGAGAGTATAACAACCTTCAGTGGTCACACGACCAGCTCTTCCAGACTTCATCTGTTTTCTACTTAGAATATGAACAAGGACATGCATAATTTCGTTAGGGACTTATCGTGTAAATGAGCATTTTACAAGAGCTTTCGGGTCGAATTTCTGATATCGAATTTATTACCTGAGGAAAATACGTTAACGATTTTCATGCTAGATATCAATTCAACACACTCTCGGACAAAATGCTCATACACAGCCTTTGCTCCAGCCTTTCAATCCATCTCATTGTGAAATTTAAGCGGGTTTAAATGACTACGAACCTTCCGCTAGCTTCTTTTCACTAATCCATTCTCCCTCTTTGTAATACTTCACGCGCAAATTCTGCACCGAAGATAATAAGATAAGTCAGTGAGTATCCGCAAAAAGAAACTAGGTAGAAATCAAAATTCTTACTTAATTAATAAATAATCTGAACAGAGATTAAACGTTTTGAGCTGATTAAAATAATAGAAGCAAAATTGGGCATTCAATTCATCATTATAACTTAGCAGTAAAAATTCAGTAAAAATTTAGCTTGTGAGAAACTGTTTTTGCTCAGTTTAACTGTCTCAAGGGCAGGTATCCTGTCACACACTCTACGCTCCTGTGGCCTTTTCTCGAAGGTTCCGGTAACTTCACGGGCCAGTAAAGCTGTTCTGTTCAAATTCAAATCAAACTTTTAAGAATACTGATAAAGGCAGGTGGTGGTACCCAATCCATGCAATCCGTTGTGTTTCTTAAGCTGATAGTTTTCTTTTGCAATTTTTAAATCATATGAATCCTACTGTAGAAAATATCTTTCGTTTTTGAATTCAAAGAGCAATTTTCCCCTTCTCCCCTCCTTTGCATTCTGTTAGTATTCAGACGCAGTGCGCGAGATTTACACCTACAGTGTACTCAGTTCTCAAAAACATGATCTCCGTGCCTTCCGTCTACGTACCAAAAAAGGAAATCTCTCCATGCGAGTGAGATGTAAAATACGATCCACATCATACTCCAGACGGGCGACTTTCTTGGCCTGAATGTAGGTAGTGCTCATCTGTGCAATGAGTATGTTGAGCAAAATCACAAGTACAGTTCCCATGTACATTAGCATCAACAGCATGGAGAGCCAACTACAAGAAAACAAAGATTCCCAACGCTTTATGAGGTATAAGCATACTGCGGTAACTGAGGGTCTTGCCCTACTGCAAGTTCGCACCTTCCACCGGTGCCTTTGCGAGTTCGCCCCCTGCAGTAAAACAACTTTGCTCCCCGCTGTTACCGGTTCAGACTCAAAATAGTTCAACTCGTTTCCCTACAGCATGCACACCGGTTAAAAAGCAAGATCGGAGGGATTAATATTGTATAGCGTGAGCGGGCTATTGCATATAATATCATTATGAGTACGGGTTTTCAGTTATTACTTATTACTCAAGTCGGAGTCACTCACTTGAAGCTTGAAAAATCTGCTACAAAGGGTCGTTGCTCGGACAGGGCACGAACACCACTTAATAATACATCTCCAAAGCCACTAAATGCAAAGAATAGATTTAAAATAACGTGAACAACATTTCAGGACATTTTCCTGTCGAGTACGCTAAATTAGTCTTCCTGGAAATTGCACTGTATTTCTCCAAAGCTGAACGAATAGTTTCAAAATTGCCAAGCTAAAAGCATTATACATTTTTTTCCCGCAGAATAACTAAAATTAAGTTCAGACAAGAAGAAATGAGAAGTAATAAAATTATTCGATGCACCTTAATTCTTGGTTTTGATTGGATGAGCGGAGAGATAAAAACAAGGCTCCACAGAATGGAAGGAAAATCGCAACAAAAACTCCCATGAATCTTGTCAAGTCTTGCTGAATGATTTTTGCAAGAGTTTTTGTGTACAGTCCTGTAGTCCTGGAAAAGATGAAAGTCTGAGTAAGAGTAACGAACTGGGCTTAATTTAAATCAGAACTGTTCGTATAAGTAAACTGTTTGAGAACTGAAGATAAACTAAACTCTGGAGTGATTAAAACCTCCCTCAAAAGAAAACGCAAAACAACAGGAAAAAGAAAAGCCAGATACTGCGCTTCGCGATCGATAAATGGCTACTTTGACACTGATCCTTATCTATTTATTTATTTGTTTATTTCAAGATTTGTACATATCGAATATATACAGGTGTTAGAACAAAAGGATATAGCATACCCTACAAGGTTCAAACACCTTACCCAACCCCATAAACCTAAAAACAAAACATGTATAGGATTAAATAAAAGCATCTTAACAAGAACATGCGACATCAGTGGCTCACAACCACTTTAAAGGCTGATAGTTTTGAAAGAAACTGTTTGGGCCTGCGTCGGTGGGAGTAACGAAATAATTTGGATATGTCAACAAAGTTGAAATGGTAAATTGGCCACCGTAACGATTACAAAAGCTGACGTTTCGAGCGTTAGCCCTTCGTTGAAGCGAATATATCCAAATTATTGCACAAACACTTTGATTGGTTGATGTTAATCGTTGCTAAATGAAATTGGCGAGCGGGAACATCAATCTTAACCTATTGACGTCCAGTGCGCCCGTAAGAGCCCATGTGGACCCTCACCCTTTCTACGCCTTGTGACGTCATCACTTTTAACCCCGGAGGACGACTTTGAGCACGTACTTGAACAGGTTGAAAATATCTTACAAACGATGCCAGAATGAGCGCAATTGAGTGAAGGAGATTGGAGAAATAGCCAAAAAAACCATGTAACCTTGACCTGAGAATCTGCACGAAAATCTTGTTCCATTACCCACCTACCTTTCTGAGCATGTGGTTTGAAAATAATGAGTAGTTTCCTAAAAAATCTCTACACCAAAATGAAGCCTACTAAATTTCCAGCAAGTGAGGAGAAACTTCAGGCAAGGAAAGGGGAAAAAAAGGCCCGGAGAAAGAGAATTTTGAAATTTTGCTTTCTGTGCGTGCCCGAGATTTTCAGGCCACCATTTTGCATTTGGATCAAAAGGCCGTCGAGTGTATAAGCTATCAATGGGTTTGGGGTAAGTTTGAGCTTTTAAAACCACAACAGTGACCTGAAATCTGCTCGACTAGCTTCAAAACACAGTTTTTCTCAAAAGCTGCGGCTATTAATGGTTTAAGATAAACACTAGAAAGGAGTTTCGGAACATTTGGTCTATAAATTGTAACATCTAGGTTACATTCAATCTTCAAACCAGAGTAGTATCAAACCATCTCTGAACGTTAATCTCTAACTGAAATGAAGCATGTTTCAAAACTTTAAAATTAAAGATTTTTTTAAAGTGACCTACCTTGTTACACATGAGAACTTAAAAATTCTCATGAAATTAAACAAGACTGCCAAAGATGCAACAGTCCACTGCGCTTTGTTACCAGTGAACCGTAAGGGTATTATACACAGGACCAACAACAGGCCTAACCAGTCAAACAGGGTCATCCACTCTGAGAAGTACGAATATCTTTCTCTACAAAAATGACACGAAAAATATTAATCCTTCCATTGGATCTTTTCCTTTGGGAGAGCTTTATTCATGAACACAAGTTTTGATTTTTGTTGTAAAAACACTCAGTATATGTAGCACATTTGCTTAACAAAAATGGTTTTTCTCATGGGGGAAACCAATCGTGGATGATTGAACCAACAAATGTATCTTCAATGATGTTATGTAGATTAGTCTCAGTGTAATTACCTGTGTTATCAGCATTATATATCACCTACATTCTCAATTGATTCAGTTCTTCACACATGTAAAAGACAGCCATGAGAAGAGTGACAATCTCACAGAATCCACACCATAAATCTGCTGCACCCCTGTACTGGGTGGGGTCTGGTTTGGTTGACCCATATAGCAGAGAAAATGACAAGAACAGCAAGAAGATGGCATACAATACTGTCTGAAGGCTAAGTATAAAAAAAATAGAACTTTAATATATCAACAGCCTAATAAAACTCTACAAGGAACAAGATACAGATCAAGTTTAAAAAATCATGCAAACCTGGTGAACCAATTTAAAGTTATTTAAGGTTACTTAGATTACAAATAAAAGTGTTTTTCCAAGTAGGTGGAGGATTATGTCTTAGTTTCCTGACCCTGCACTACACCTGTGGGCTGGATATGTGATGTAACCTTACAAACATCATAAGGAAGGTAAAAGGTATTTGCCTGAGGAAGAAGTGTCCATAACTTTTCCATTTTGTCTTAACCAACATTCTAACCACTGGATGTTGCAAAGCCTCCTGCAATTCAAAGTAAGTCAGACAGAATCTTAGGGGCAACTACAAATCTATCATACCAGCTTGGCTTCACCCAGTAAACAATTTTTCACCATCGAGAACAGCTAGTCTCTCCAGTTTTTTTAACCAACAGCAAACAACATACTTCATATACATTAATTAAAATCACAATTTACCTTATTTTTACTCTTGGCAATCATATTTAAGCATGACTTATCTCTCTGGTTGAAATATTTGTTATCTGACTCTGTGTGTCCTTCTGATAATTTAAGTTTTGGTGGTCTACCACCCCCATCACCATCCAAGATAGCATAATGAAAATAATAATTCAATGGATCTTCTGGGATTGTCTTCCAAACTCCTTCGATTCCCTTCTTTTCTTCTTGGGAGACATAAGTGTCCTTGCGTTTTGGAAGGTAAGGCCAGTGAGGGTTCACCATCTGGTCTAATAAAGCCACAACTGTTTTCTGTTGACATAAGTCATTTACCACAAGATATTGAAAAAAATATCTTCTTCTATGTTACAAAAGAATACATTTGCATTTTAAATAAATTTCACTATACATTGGAATCTATGCAGAGGGGCCATTAGTTGTAACATCTTTCATACAGTTGTATGTCTGTCTCTAAAAACTGAGTTCTGGAAATCATTATCAAAGTAATTAGTGGGCATAATAGATGAATTCAAGGTTGGGAACATCAATCAATACTTTTAAAGCAGAAAACACACCTTACAACAGATGCAAAGCATTAATTAGGTCATGTTTGAGGTATTGATTAATAAGTGTTCAAACTGCTTGAGTTTAACAACACAATTCTACATCAATTACTTTAATTTTTAACTTAACTTTTCCAAGTAATTCAATGGGAAAGAGAATGGTTATATAATCCCCTTGGATGGCAAGCTGGTAGATTATATAAGCTGTACAGATCACAAATTTGATTGATACTTAGCTATAAATTAATATTGCCAGCATTGTTTTGCAGGAGTATTGATCATGTGGTCTCATTAAGTCTCACCTTCATTTTAGGATTCTCAACGATGGCCTGAAAACTGAAGAGAGATGGCTGTGGATTTGACATGTCTTCTGGTCTCCAAGAAAATAAACTTGTAACACTATACGCACAGAGAAATTTGAATATGACAGAGTCATTATCAAGTGATGAGAATGTAGATAATTTGGTGAGTGGGTTCATAGAACTAAGAGTAAAAGATAAAATGTCTAAAAGAATACAGGTAAGTAAGATTCAGGAAAATGGAAAACAAAATACTATAAGGACTGATAAATTTATGGATACATATATTTACTGTAAATATAGGAAATCTTATTATAGTAAGTGACTAATATGAAATTTTCTGCACCATTTGGTCCTATATAGAGGCTTAATCTTCTTTGCATAATCTTTATAGTAAATAACAGAAGAACCATAACCAGAGAGTACATCCATCTTGTCACAAGCAGTGGACAACAAAATACCTCTTGTGCCACATTGCTCTAACCAAATAAGCTGCCACGTCATCATTCTCTGCATTCAATGCCAACTCAACTGCTAACATGGCTCTTTTTCCCTTGGGTTTTATTTGAAGTTCTGTTGTTGCCTCCAGCAGACCAGGACATTTCTTTAAGAGTGTTTTGGTGATTTGTAAAAACCCAGCTTCAGAGGAATAGTGCAGCAAAGTTTTCTTTGTTTCGTCTTCTTCATCTTGGAATAGCTCATATCTGTTTCCTGAGTTTAGTTCACTATCTAACATTATCTCCAAAAATTGATTCACCTGCAAACGACATGCATTTTGATATGCAATGAGGTTCCATAAACTTACATTATAATTTAATGGAGAGATGCAGAACTACGCTGTCCACTTAATTCCCAGCCCTTCAAAAATTCTTTAGTATACCTTGTAATCAAAATAGGAAGCAAAATTGAAAAACGGCAAACCACATATTTCCTTCTCAGCATTCTCATATATTCAACATACCAGCTTTTCAAGGCCTGGAAGTTTGTCAGGTTTATCCTTGTACTGTTTAGATGCTGGCCAATGTTTCAACATCACAAGTGCTGGGTCTTCACCGTTCAGTTCCCCATTAACTTTGTAGTTCTGAATAAGTCTTTCAACTCGAACTTCATCCATAGCTCTATTCCATGGTAACCCTTTACTCTGCTTTTCATGAACCTGCATAAAAATTATAGATAATTGTGGTCAAGTTTTATTTCCACTAACAGAGCTAATCCTGAATGAGTTACTGAAAATTTGGAAAGATGAGGTCTTCCTTGAATTGTTACCATCATCCAAAACTCTCTCGATCTGTAAAATTCCTCATCCAAGAGATCCACGTGATCATCATATTCAGTTTGAGATCTCTGATCTTCATCACAATTTCCTTCGTCACCACGCTCCAACAACTTTCCCTTTTCCATCCCTAAACCATTAATCATCATCTGGAAGAAACAGTAAGTTTTATGTGTGACAATGTCTAATTTTACAACAGAAATAAACTAGCAACTTCCATAAGGCTTACTCTCAGTCGGCGCTGCACTCGCTAAGTGGGCAATCAAATGCGCATGTCATCATCTTTCGGAGGTTCTCGTTCCCAGGGTCCTTGTCACACTTGCTCACGGGTGAGAGAGCCAACCCGCAAGGAAAACTAGTCAACGTGTTTCTTTATCATGATTTCTATTTGAACAACGTACGATTTCTCTCTTCGTTAAACGAGTTTTCGTTCAAGTAAAATCACATCAAAAGAGATCTAACGTGAGTTGAAGGATCGATCCACTGAAGCCTTACGAACAAAATTTTTTTGATTATTTCAAAAATCAAAATTTAGATATTTGAGTGTTCGAATGTAGCTATAGTTATATTACGTGGCTTTCATGAAGCAAGATACGACTTTTTTTCAGCTTCATTTGTTGATTTGGAACGGCTTGCTGGGTGTTATTGTTAGGTTATATGGTATATTTTAACTCCTTTCTAACCAAAGATTTCAAAATATAAGCTGTAAGCGACTACGGTTAAGATCTCTTTGCAAGTTGCAACACCCCCTCCCCGTTTTTTGAGGTAGGGGACCGCATGATAGGTGGAGGCAATCATCTTTATCACATAAATTTCCCTTTCCAGCTTCCCGTATCTAGTTCAAGATGTCTATGGCTAAGCCTATCTAACAGTTATCGAAAATGATCCTTTTCATTCTAATTTGAGGTGCATTTTGCATTAGTTTGGGTCAGGAACCCATTATCCGGAGCTTCCATCTCAGTTGTACCCTTGAGTCAACCCTGTCCCGTATCTTTTTATTTTTAGAACTGAGATATTTGTGGGAGTTCTTTCAAGGGACACAATAGAGACGTAACACAATAGAGACGACAGCTCTCTTATAATTGGCTATTATAAAAACACCCGCGAAAACCGCCGTGGGAGGTACTTCTAGAAATAGAAAGATAGGGACAGGGTTGACCCAGAGGGTCAGTATGGAAGATGGAAGCTCCGGGTAATGGGCTCCTGGTTTGGGTGAGATAATCAAACAACTTTCCAACTTTCAGTCAAGAAAAATGTAAGATGGTCGAAAAACTTCAAAAATCGAAAAGAATGTTCTCGTCTTTTTTCTTTTCCTTAAAGCTTAACTTAAACTAGGTTTACACTAGAGGAAATTGTTCCGGATTCGTGATGAATCCGAAACGTTTTAGTACTGGATTCATTCTGCAGTTTACACGAAAGTGGACGAATCCGAAAAAAAACTTCCCGTTTTGGTCGTGTCTCCCGAGATTTTGAGTCCGGAATTTAAAGTGGGAACTTTGAATCCGATAACTTTTGAATCCGGAAAGTTTTGTCGTGTAACCGCTTTTTTTCTCCAATCCGGATTTTATTTCCACCTGCGATCTTTTGAGTCTGCGGTGAAACCAAAATGGATCTAGTGCTAACATTGCTGCCGGTCTCTGGTTGCCTAATCTTGTTGCAGGTTCAGGCGATAAATGTTATCATGTGTACCGCAGTATTTCTGAAGAAACGCAAATTATCATTGCAAGGAAGTTTAACGTCAGCCACACTTAATCGCCGACGACGTTGACTGCTTGGCATCTGTCCAACTCAAATTTGCCTCAGTGGCATCTGGATCTACTCTAGCCTTTTTTTGGGGAGGCATTTTCACTTTGTCGATCGAACGACGAAACAACACTAAGCTTGGTAACCATTCCATTTCGAATGTTCCCGGAGTTGTCGTTGTGTGTAAACGGTCAGGAATCCGAATATCCTTTCAGTGTAAACGCCTACGAATCCGAATACTCCAAAATTGATGAATCCAGAAACATTTACGAGTCCGGAAAAGTCTCCTCTAGTGTAAACCTAGTCTTAATTGATTACACAATAAAAAAAAGTTTCCTGCAGCATATGACCTTTGTTATACATGTTTAAGTAAAAACACCTATTTGCAATACAATTGCCCTAAAAAAAGAAAAATGAAAAAGCTAAATTATAGTAATTTATGACCATATAACGGAAAATAACCTCTGGCTATATGCCCTACAACTAAACGATATTAACAATGTTCCGCTGAAAAGCTATTTAAAATTTCTTGAGAGCATCAGTTGATTTTCTAGAAATTTCAAGTAGTTTCATAAATTAAATAGAAACATAAATACATTTATATGCTAATGCC